CGCATCCACACTCCTCCAGGTCTGCCCGCCGGGGAGCACGAAGCTCTCACCACCTGCCGTCCAGGACCGGATCCACGGAGTCCTCATGGTCCAGTCCCTTCCCGCGAGCTGCCCCTGGACCATCAGCAACCATCGCAACCACACTTCTCCAGCCAAAAGTGCTGCCGGTAACTCCCAACTCACGCTCCGCCCATGGGCAACGCCCTCGCTGGCTGAAGCGACCTAGCGAACACCATGGGCAGCGCCCTTCTCCCCCAGGAAACGCATAACACAGACACCGGCTGCCTCTCACCCGACCACTTGGGTGATCCTGCATTTTGCTCCAGGGGTGCTCCAGGAAACCCTACCCTCCCCACATCCAGGGCAACGTCCTTCCTCCCACCGTGGAACCACCCGCTTCCACACCCTTCCGTCCCCCCCCCTGCCTACCGCAGTGCAGACATTCCGCCACGCGCGCGTGCCACCCGCATGTACATGGCTACGGTCTCTTCCCGCACTGGCGCGAGAACCTCGCCACCACCTGCCCAAGCTTCCGTTCGCGCTGCTCCGTCCTAGAACCAACACGCCACACGCCGCGGACACGGGCGCCTGACAAGCATGCGAAAATCTTCCCCGGGCCTTTCACGTTACCACGGGCACTGGCTAGACCTCGCCCAGCGCAAAATCTACACAAAGCCTAGCGCATTCCTGGGAAAATTCCAGGGCATTGGCCGGGATTAAAAATAAGTTTATCAATTTTGGAGCAGATCCGGGAACCTACACGCAGCGGACATGATAAAAAGGACATCGCCTCACCCCACCTCTCTGCCTGGAAGCAAGGCTAGCGCTAAGGTCCTATCCCTTGGGGGTCGGCGGCTGCAGGCGGTAGCCTGGTAAATATATCATTCCGTTCTCAAAAGCTAGGCGAACTAGTCACATCTTGATCACATTGATCAAATCAGGTAGCAAAATGTCGCGTGGCCAATCCTGCTCTGGCTCAGGGAGCTGCCCCACAAAGCGTGCCAAGACATCTTGCAGCTGCCGCGAGAGCTGTTGAGCCGTGGACTGAAGGCGATGCAAGGTCCTGGGCTATTCAGACAGCCCACCGAAATATGACATGTGAAGCTGTCGGAAGACATGATCTCTCTTAAAAGTTTAAAAGCAACCCGCTGGTGGGCGTTGAAGGACGCCAGGCTTTCCCCACGAGCAAGGCACAAGCGCACATACCTAGGCGGCCTGATCTTCAGGCTCCACTTGGGCTGGTCTTTAGTGCAGGCCTCTCTTCATTCCAGATGGCATGGGGCTAACTCAACCAAGACACAAAAAGCCAGATCCTGCTTTGGTACTTCTCGGAGGCTGAACCATTGGGCGAGCAGCACAACCTTTGAAGTGAAGTCGCAGTGAGCCCAGCTCCATCTTCTGCTTGCAGTGCTTGCATTCCACCAGTCCTGAAGCTCCGAAACTGCCTCCACTCTCTCTGGAAGGAAATGGAGTCTGAGCTACATTCAGGTTAGAACGGTTAGAACTAACTGGCCATGACATGACTCAAGCAGAATCACAAGGCTGTTTGGCCAAGGTTCGGAGCTTGCACTGCTTGGGATGTGTGGGTGGCTCCAGCTCCCCACACCAGGGACAGGGCTGCGGCTCCCAACGCTTCCGCACTTCAGACCCTGCATTCTTGTAGGCACGTGTAAACTGATTTTCGAGTGCTTTTATCTGTTAAGCGTTTCGAGTTGATTTGGAGTGAGCGCCACAGCAAACTGGATAATTCTGCAGTCTTGTGCCCGCCAACCTGCAGAAAGATTTTTATCTGAGACAGTTACAGTACACCTCAAGCCTTTCCAGGTCCATTCCCCGCAACATCACCGTCCACTAATGCAGCCTGTAGCCACAGTGCTAGGCCGGCGCTTTTGCCTCGAAATCACTGGGGTGCAGCGTGTTCCTGCTGGGAAAGCAAGTGGGTCCTACGTACCCTCCATGAAGACAGTGTCAGCTTCAAGATATGCTCGGCACACTGCTAGGTTCCAATAATAATGGGGTGGCCAATGTTTCCTGATCCGTGAGGTTCTCATGAAAATACGTAAGCTTTGCAACCCAGTGGCTCCGCTTCATGAGGCTCAATCCTGGAAGCTTGGCAAGACAGGTGAAACACGTCCAACAAACCCAACAATAGCTTAAATACGGCTTTGTATCTTTTGTGTGTGTGCTACGATGTGCCATGACGTTATGAGCTTTTCACTTCCGCAAAAGTCCGTCACAGCCAAAGAAGGGTGACATTTCCACTACTCAATTTACGCGTCTGGGGAAATGGAAATACATATATACAGATATTGGCATTTGGTTACAGTTATACAATATGTATATATAAATATATACTAATGCAACTGGTGGAATGGTAGAAATGTATGAGTTCACCCGCTAGAAAGCTATCACTTCCCTACTTGCCAAAACGTATGTACTAGGTACCACCCAAAAGTGCGGTGAAAATGCAAAAAGCATACCACTTCAAAAATGTCCACTTCAGTACCAATAGTCCAATAGAGTTGCACGACTTGACCACCAATCAAAGTGCACCAATTCACCACCGCATGGCGCAGCGACATCCTAGACATCAAATTTACCTAGCATTTGCTCCAGCAATCGTGCAACAACTCCCCTGTGACAGGTTCATGCAAACCTCTTTCAAGTTGCACAAATGGCCTTGGTTTGATTTGCTTCTCCATCTGCTGTGGTTCTCTCTATCTCCCTCTTCAGAGTTTTTGAAGGGCGCACCTTGCATCATGAATCGGTTTCTTCAGCAAACTCCAACACACAGCACCAGCCAGCATATACAATCAAACCACAAGGCCAGACCATCCAACAACCCCATTATGCATTTATCACCAGCCAAGGCTCGATTTGGGTGCTGGCCGTGTGGCCAGGATGCGCCGTCGAGGTGCCGGAGGAACCCGAGGGCGGCGCGGCATTGCGGGTGCCGTGTGGGGTTTCAGCTGACCTGATGTGCCCGGCACACTGAGCACACCAATTGTGCAAGTCCGACAATCACGGTCTCTACTCTCCATGCTGCAAAACATCGGATGTGTTGGCATGGCCCCCATGCTCAGAACATTCTGATTCCGATTGCTGTTTGTGCAGGCTTTCATGTATGTCGCTGGATTTTGTTTTGGGTTGCAGCTAAACTTGGTTCGCTTGGACTTGGTGACAAAGTTCGTTGTTTGCAGTAAATCCAATTTAGGCCCAGCGTCCAGACTTGATTTGTTCCCACCTCTTGCGGTCCTTCGCCTCCACCCCAGCTATTTGCCCGAATTTGCACACACCGAACTTCATGTGCTCAAAGGAGTCGGCCTGGAATCAGTATAACCGCAGCCTCCCACTCCACACCAACAAGTCACGAAAAACGACTCGTCCAAAGCAACGAGCACCCGCAAGCACAGCTCACAGAACCAAGCTACGATCCGAGGCCAATTCTCCGCGGTTACGTGAGGCAGGCGGGGTGCTGCATGGACCTGCCAAAGGGCTTGCACCGGGGTCCATAAACATGCATAACCGTGCGCAGATGCAGCCAGCCTCACACATACGGAAAATCAACGCTTCTTTCAACTCATTGCTGGGCGATCTTGGATCACCTCACCAGGAGATGCTGCAGCTCTTGTCGGCGCCACTTGCGAAAAGCCAAGCTCTCAGCCCTCCGAAGAAGCCATTTGTGCCCCCCTTCCCTTTCAATGTGTGTCTTTGGCCTTCGTCATCTGGATCTCTTTGACCTTGCTGCCACTTCGGCATACCAATGTAGCCCAATGAAACCAAACTTTGTCAAAAACACAAGTCAAATGAAGACATTATATATTTTGGCATCTTCACTGCAAAGCTCTCGGCTTTTCGAGCCAGGGGTTTGTGCCGACGCTGCACGCAATTCTTCTTCAACAGTGCCTGACTGACGCACAGCTGTGTGGACCCACTACGTGCCTGACTACTAGCGGCTAGCAAAGATGGGGAGGGAAGGGGAGGGGAGGGGTGAGGGTGGATTCCCCCGCAGTGGGGCGGTGAACAACAGTATTGACCTGGATCGGCTTACAGGCTAGCAAGTCCCACAAGAGCGTGCGAGTGGAGGCAAGGCTTTTCTATCGCACAAGATGTACCTTGAGCCTTGAGCCAAAAGTCTTGGCCGGTTCATATGCATTGCGTAAGAGCATAAACAGTAGTAACTATATAACCATGAAGCAACAGCGAACGGAAACAAAACAGTCGCAAATTTTTTTTGCTCTGTAGCATGCTGATCAGTTCTACGTCTTTTATATACTTCAAAAACCCTAAAGTTTCGCTTCTAACTCTGTTCCAACATGACGCTTGCGGTCTACAGCGGTTCGGATTGACACGTCCATTTTGCCTGGCAGGTACAGCACGGTCAGATTTCCACACCCGCCCGTTTAAGTTTATAATACTTATAAAGCTTTCAGGTGTGGAAATCTGACCGCAACTTAGGTGTCGACATGTTGCACGTAGGATTCTAAGGGGCAAGGGTTTGTCCCGTTTTAGAAGTCAAGAAGCGCAACTTTCGGCACCCCAGTGTATATATATATATATCAAAATAAAAAATGATAAAAAAGAATCTTGGGTAGGTAGTGAGTGTGGGGGGTCGCGTTTGGAAATCCGCTTCCCCACCATCACTCACTCCTCCTTTCTTCTCTTCTTCGTCCTTTCTTTTTGAATAGAAATAGATTACTTTAAAAAGAACGAAAAAAAAACACGCAACGCCGACGCCCACGCATCCCCCAACCCCCCTGAAGTGGATGACGGCCTCCCTTCTGACCAAGCAGGACGAACGATAGAACAATAGATAGGTAGATAGAGAGATCAGATAGATGTATATACATGTGTCAATCCAATCTACGAATATACTTAGTGAATTTAGTGGAAGTGTTTGCCAAATGTCAGGCTTTGAGAGGTTGCTTGGATAAGCCACTTCTTCCACTGTTCAAGTGTCAAACTCTGGAGTTTCTTAGGTTAAGCCACTCTCTCCAAGTTCTGGTCTATATAGAAATCAAACTCTGAAGTTTCCCGTCTCTCGATACTTGGTTCTGGGTATCATTGGGATACTGGCATCGGGGCATCATTGATACTTAGTTCTGGGTCTCATTGATACTTGGATACTGGTATCAGGGTATCATTGATTCTTGGTTCTGGGTATCATTGATTCTTTGTTCTGGGTATCATTGATGCTTGGATACTGGTATCGGGGTATCACTGATACTTGGTTCTGGGTATCGTTGATACTTGGATTTTTGTTTCATTGATACTAGGTTGTGGGTATCCTTGATACTTGGATACTGGTATCTGGGTATAATTCATACTAGGCTCTGGGTATCGTTGACAGTTGGATATTGGTATCTGGATATCATTGATACTAGGTTGTGGGTATCGTTGATAGTTAGATGCTGGTGTCTGGGTGTCATTGATACTAGGGTTGGGTATCTGCGGTTATGCATGCAATGTGTGAAAATTGCTCTTGGATGACTCACCCACAAAACATCTCAAGCGCCAGTTCTTTTCACTGGCAAAGCTCACATGTTCCTGCGTCCCTCAACTTCTGCTCATCCTCTTGAAAGAGCTTGGCGACGAAATGCCAATGCTTAAAAGCCACACTTACATTGGTTGTCCTCCTCAGGACGCAGTCTGCGGGCTCCTCACGAAGAAGACTCATAGTCAATTTGGTCTCCGGCTTGCCCTCCGGGAGATACCCCATGAGTCCTTCCTCTGCTACCTTGAGGAGATACTCCTTCACTTCCTGGTCAACACGTTTCTTCTCAATTGTTTCCACCCTCTGCTGGTACCACTGCTCAACCTGCTTGATGACCGCATCCGCGCCTCTCTGACCTGCCCTGGAGACGTTTCGCAGTATCTCGCCCAAGTCTCAGAAGTTGCCCCCTGTGCGGATGTAGTAGTGCTTCAACACCTCCTCTATCTCATCGTCGGCAAGAACCTTGTTCAGCGTCCGGAAGTCGTTTCCGTGCTTTGCCACCTCCTTGACCACAGGTACAAAGTCTTCGAAAGGCAGCGGTCGCGCCACCACCAAATCTGACATGTTAAACCTTTCGGCCACGGCAGACACGCTGACCTCCAAAATGAACTTGCACGCGGCATTGTCGTAGGTGATGTTGTGAGCGAAGGCACCGAGGGTGGAAGCAATGTCATCACAGGCATCCCTACTAAATTTGTCTCCGCGGCTTTTGGTTGTGGGTTGCAGGTACGCCACGACAGCACTGCCTGTTCGGCGCCTCATTCACCTTTTCCAGCATATACTCCACTTGTTCTGGATGGCAGGTTTACTGCTTGCAATGCTTTGGGCAGCGCTTCATTGAGCTTCAAGTCCTCACCAGGACGGCTTGACATCTTGGGCGGCAGCACCCTTTTGCCATTCTTCACATGAGATTGCTCAGCATGGTTGGTTTCCCAAGGCCTTGGGAGCCACTAGAGCGGCCGTGCAGGGGCGGGCTCTGTCCTTTCCAGCCTTTGCCCAGCCTTCCTCACTGCCCTGCTCATGAAGAAGCCAGGAAGGAACCTTTGAATGAGAGCTTGGAGAACCAGCACTACGACGCTCCCTGTGCGCAAGAAAGTCCAACCAGTTTTGATGGTCTGCGCCGGAAAAGCCCTCGCGGTTTGTGTTCGTGCATGACCGCTTGGAAGGACGAACCGGCCTGTCGCAAGCTGAACCTGCCTAACAAAGATGCATCTGCAGAATGTCAAAGAAAAAGGACAATACATCGGTTCAGTCAATTTGTGCCAAACTGGCTTTGGATTGAAGGATGCTTGATATGCAAAACCAAACAGGAACCACAGCGCCTAACCTCAATCAATACATGAATTTGAAGCAAATAATTCGACGTCTTTGAAGAATTAGCCAAGCCGGAGACCCCAATAGCAAGATACAAACCGGGACAAAAAGAAAAATCTGGAAACAGCTGCTGTTTTCAACACATCGACCATCTTCCTTGGACACCATCATCACATAACCGGGACACCATCACAAAATGACCAGGGCACCATCAAAACATGACCGAGACACCGTCACAACATGA